AATAAAAAATAAACATTATAAAATTATACAAGAAGCAAAACGTCAATGGTTAAATTATTTCTTAAATATTTATGAAATAAAAATACAAGAATATGAACAACAATATCAAAATGAATTCATTAAATTGGAATCACTCTTCTCAAATAATAATGATAAAACTATGTTAACTAATATCAAGGAACATATCAATAATAGAATCAATAGATTAAAAAAAGATATTTATGATAAAATGGCATCTTTTCGAAAAATAATACTTCAAAATCGTCAACGTTCATCATCAACAAAAAATGCTATAGGTGTTTCACCTGAACCATATCTCGATCTTATTTCTAATCCATTTGATAAACGTCAATGGAATTATCTCTCACTTGGTAAGATAATTTTTCTAAAATTATTTAAAAATTTCTTTATTTATTTTTTATTAACTTAGGTCCATCTTATATAAGAGTAAATCAAAGTGCTATTCGTCCAAAATGTCAACAAGAAACTGAAATAAAAAATGAACATAAAGATATTTATTCAAAAGTTGAAAATCATCTCACCGACTATCCTCATCGTATACCACGAAACAATACAATTTTTAAACAATATTCAGATCATCTTCTCGATTATCTTAATCAAAGTTATTTGACTCCGTTATCATATAAAGATCAATTAAAAAGTCTCGAGCGAGCACAAATTCTTGGATCAATTCGACGAACAATTAAAAAGATGAATCTTATTATTCGTGTTACGGACAAAGGAAATAATTTTTATATTGGTTCGGCTGGTGAATTTGAAGAAAAAGCTCAAAAATTTTTCTCTGATACAAATGCTTTTATAGAATTATCTTCCAATCCATTCAATGAAATATTGAATAAAGTTATACAATTACTCAATACACTTCGTGGAAAAGATCTTATTCGTAAATGGCAATATGAACAAATGATGCCAGATCTAACAAATTCTGAATTAGCTCATTTATATTTTAATCCTAAAACACATAAGGTAAATTTAAAGAAAAAATTTATTAATATTTCTTTTTTAATTTAATTTAATTTCTAATTTTTATAGGATAGTATACCAGTTCGACCAATTGAAAATACTATCCATGCTTCAACTACAAAAATTTCAAAATTCTTAGACAAAATTCTACGACCAATATTTGATGATAAATGTAAAGATACAACTATTATTGATGGTGCTTCATTAATTACTGAACTTTCAAAATATAACAAAAAAGGTCTCTTGAAGCCAACAACTCTTTTTTGTACATTTGATATTCGTAATTTATATACAATGTTACCACAAGAAGAATCATTAGATATTCTTATGACATTTCTTCATGCTCATGGTTATAGAAAAGTGAAGGGAATTAGTATTGATACAATAAAAAAATTAGCTTCAATTATTCTCAAAGACAATGTTTTTGCTTATGGTAAAAAAATTTATAAGCAAACAACTGGTGGTGCTATGGGTTCATCATTGACATTAACTTTAGCTAATATATTTATGTCGGAATGGCAAAAAAAACTAGTTGAAGAACAAACGAAGACAAATGAATTCTATGGAAGGTAAGTGACCAAATATTTAAAATTATGACGATTATTTAACTTTTTCCTTTGTAGATATATTGATGATATTTTTATGACTTGGAATAGATCTGAAGAAGAATTAAGAAAATTATTAGACGATGTGAATACATGGCATCCAAATATTAAATTAGACTATAAAATTGGTAATAGTCTTCCATTTCTTGATGTACAACTTACAAATAATAATGGCATACTATCAACATCTGTCTATCATAAGCCTGCAGCTGAACCATATGTTACACCATTTATATCTGATCATCCTCGACATGTTTTCATCAATATTATCCAAACGTCTCTTGCACGTGCTGTAAGATATTCATCGACATTCGAAGCTTTTAATTATGAACGACGTTACATTAAATTGATGTTACTATATAACGGGTAAGTCAAATTAAATATATGTATCATAAAATATATATTATTCTGTATTTTTCAATCTACCATTTAGTTATCCATCAACATTTATTGAAAATCAATTCCATAAATATTTATCAGACTATATATCGACATCGCCATTTTTACCATTGATTGATGATGAGAAAAAATTCTTTCAATTTCGACAAAAACTATTAGGTCAACCAACACCTCGTCAATCACAAGTGGCACTGAGTGCAGCAACAGCTGATATTGACAATGATCCAGACACCGATGAAACAAAGCAACCAAATGAATCTACAACGAAAATCGACAAAACAAATATTACAAATTATCAAGAAAAATTATTTATTCATTACACACATGAAAAAAGATTTAATGTTTTCAAACGTGATATGCATCATGTCTACGAAGATACATTTAAATCTACACCAGCAATGTATGCCAACCTTATCGTTGGCAATCGGAATCGACGACAGGCAAGTGATGAACTAATACATAAACGACCGATAAAAACATTTTTACTGAACGAAATAACGCAAGGTAAGCATCAGAACAAAATTTAAAAAAAAAACAATCCTTCACTTATAATTTAACCTAATAATATCAATTGAAAAATATACTTCTAGGACAACAAAACAAAAAAAACAAAAGAATACAAAAGCAACAAACAATCAAACAAACATCCCCAGCTTAATCGACAAACTTGCCGAAAAATTCTCTATTTATCCTAAATACAAACAATATCATCAGCCCGTATACCGAAACCATTCTAAAAAAAACATCCAATTTTTACTCACTACATACTGCAATACCATTAAAAAAAAAATTAATAAAACTTTTCCTTTTCTATATCATACATTTAATCAATCCTAATATCTAACTGTGCCTTTTCTTTTCAGATAAATTAACATAATTAGATTTCAACAATCGAAACTACAACATCTAACCAATGACCAAAAGATGTAGATTATGGTAGCTGTTCACACGACAGTGTCTTGAATTTTATCAATATATTTATATATATATTTTTATGTATATAGATATATCAGATATAAATTGAAATTTTTGATTTTTTAATCATTAAAATTCATTTGCCATCTGATGATTCCTTTAGCCAGGATGAAATCTAGATTATGGTAGCTGTTCACACGACAGTGTCTTGAATTTTATCAATATATTTATATATATATTTTTATGTATATAGATATATCAGATATAAATTGAAATTTTTGATTTTTTAATCATTAAAATTCATTTGCCATCTGATGATTCCTTTAGCCAGGATGAAATCTAGATTATGGTAGCTGTTCACACTACAGTGTCTTGAATTTTATCAATATATTTATATATATAGATATTTTGTTTATGTATATAGATATATCAGATATAAATTGAAATTTTTGATTTTTTAATCATTAAAATTCATTTGCCATCTGATGATTCCTTTAGCCAGGATGAAATCTAGATTATGGTAGCTGTTCAC